AACTATTCCAGCCCACATTTCTACTGATTAAAGTTGAACATTTAGTAAGCACTAGCATACACAAGATATTAAAGACACAAAGACAATAATAAAAACAAAAAATCCCAAATCCAAACAACTTAAGAAGTCCCTGTTTTTAAGTCAAGAGACATTTATTAATGCCTATTCTGTGCCAAATACTGTGATGGAGCTCACAATCTACATGTTTTATAATTCTACCTCATCCCTCAAAGTGTCTAGAACAGCACTGACCACATAGCATAGGTGGTCAATAAATGCCAGTTAATTGAATTTTTTGCTTCCTCACTAGAACATGAATTTCAGGAAACCAGCTAAGTGACTCAAATGCTATAAACATAAAGTCCTACATCAATCCCTTCCCCCTAGTTCCTGTCAAAACATGAGCTTGATGCCCGAGTCACTCCTTAAACCCTGACTCTAAAAAAGCAAGTTTTGTTTTTAAGCTAAGTCAGATTTTTTTATTTTGGAAGAGAGAAATGAGAAAAGAGGTCAACCAACAAAGGGAATAAAAAAACTGAGTAAAGAGATTTGTGAAATCAACCAGCAGGAAGGAAGACCATGAGGTCAGCAGTCAGGTAGGCAAAGCATTAAATCAGGATGTTCACGTAATTTTAATGTTGGATTCTCCTATCGTAATAGAACTAGAATATGCCATACTGGACACAGGTCAAAAAGAAGGTTCAGGGACAGCTAGGTGGTACAGTGGATAGAGCACCAGCCCTGGAGTCAGGAGGACCTGAGTTCAAATTACTAGCTGTGTGACCCTGGGCAAGTCACTTAACCCCAAGTGCCCTGCCCCCCCTCCAAAAAGTTCATTCCCAGGGAAAAAAATCCCAGAGACAGGAAGCTAGACCGGGAAAGCTACTAATTCCAGGCCTGTCCCTCTAAGAAGGAAGCAGGTAGAGGGGAGGCTTCATGGATAGATTAAAAGAGATATGAAGAGGCTTTACCTTGGATAATCAAAAAAAAAAAACCAGAAGCATGCTTACAAGCAAGGCAATTGGCCTATGAAAGGCAGTATAGAGAGTAAAGGAGCCAGCCTTGGAGACAGGCAGACCTGGTTCCAAGTCCCATCTCTGACATGTACTATCTATGTGACCATGAGCAAGAAACTTAACCTTCCCATGTTCTCAGGCAACTCTCTACTACTATAAACTACAGATGAGTCTGCTGATTAATGAAGGGACTCTCTAGGCCAGGAGGGCCTCACTCTAATGCAACTATAGATTGATTCTCTCTCCAAACCAAACTGTCAAAACATACACAGACACATTTGTGTGGGCGCGTATGTACATATGTTACACTGCATGTATGTATATTAATATATGTACATACACTATACATATCTACATACTAATATGATACTATTTTAGCTATATTATATAGTGTGTATACATTACGTATATATGTATATGTAGTATATATACTGTGTATATACTCTCTGAATCAGAGTTTCTTAAACATTTTTCACTTGCAAACCCTGCAGTGCTTCTTAAACCATGGGTTACACCCCCATAGTGCTGCTCTAAATGCATGGTATACATACGGGGGCGGGGGGGGAGAATTTGTAGCTGTGATTGTAATATAAGGGAAACTCTGCCTGAAAACTTATCACAAGTCTTATCTGTCTCTAAATATCAACATCTGCACATATACGTAGATGTATCTCTCTTAACCATTCTCAGCATCAAGGTTAAGGGGATCTTATTTGTCACCTTTGTGCCTAAGTTCTACTTTCTAAACTGTATTCTATATTCTGTAGAATGTAGGCAAAGCAAGGTATATGTATGTGTGTGAACACATACATGGACACACACACACACATGCATACTTGTGTGTATAGATATGCGAGCACATGCATTTACATCCTGGGAGGGTGTCTATCTTGCTTTGCCTCACCTAGAAAACTATAGAACATAGAATACAATTTAGAAAGTACAACTAAAGTACTTAAATGATTCATAAGACCCTCTAATCTTGGTGGTTATGAGAGGAAGGAGTGGGTAAGGAGAAAGGAAAAAGGGGAAGGGGGAAAGAGAGAAGATATTTTAAGAAAGAGAAAGACAGGAGTAAAAATATTGTTAGTTATTATATTTAAATAATGAGCAGGGGTGAGGACTAAAATACATATATATATGGATACATGGATATATATGGATATAGCTATAGATATGGATATGGCAAATGCAAAATTAGATCTATCACCTAAAAATTCTGCTCCATCCTGCAAACCTCAGATTTGTAGCTAGCACACGGGCAGTTTGAAGAGTAGGAGAGACTAGCTGAAGAAGTAAATGAGGAATAATAAACAAAAGGGTTTGCAGGGGTGCAGAGTTATTACTCTTAATCATGATTATTAGAAGAGGGAATAGGATATTTAAAGAGAAATGGAATGGCCAGAGACTGTGAAAGTAACTAAATTGGACACATTTTTTTTTTTTAGCCCTGCCATCTAAACCAAGAACTCAAGAATGGAACTGGCCAACTAAAAATTGAGAAACGACATTAAAGGGGACTGACACTCTTCTTCTGAATGTTCTCTCAAACGATTCTTTCGTTTTCTTTCCTGTAGCCTGTCAACATGCAGCAGACGCTAAAAGGAATCCAGAGCCGGAAGTCAGCTTTGGAGACTTGACTTAATATAATATTGGCCTCTAGTGGATAAAATTGAGAAGGCAACAACTTCATGTAAAACAACACGAAATTCAAACCCTAAAATTTACTTTGCTTTCCGTTCCTACCATGTAAACAAATGAGGTTTTTCTCTTTTCAGGGAGAGCTCTTATTCTAAAATGCTTAGAATTAGTGTCTTTAAAATGTTTATAGCTGAAATTAAGGACAAAGAGAAAAACATTTCTATGGTAGTTTCTAGACAGTTGGGTTTTATACTAAGCTTGGACTAGCAGAGGGGACTCTTCTCAATATCTGGCCCGTATGGGCCATATACTGTGACTTCCCTATTCCTTACCCCATATATGCAACGAGTTGTCAAATCCTGACAGTTGATCCCATGACAGCAGTAGCCAACCCTTTCTTTCTACTCACAGGGATCACTACTATCCTAGTTCAAATCCTCATTCACTTCACTGCCTGGAGTCAGAAAAACCTGAGTTCAAATTCAACCTCAGATACTTACTAGCTGTGTGGCCTTGGGCAAGTCCCTTTACATCTCACAGCCTCTGTTTCCTCATCTATAATGTGGGAAAAATAATAGCATCTACCTCCCAGCATTGTTGTGAAGATCAAATGAGACAGTAATTGTAAAACACTTAGCACAGTGCCTGACACACAGTAAATACTTAATAAAAGCTAGTTCTCTTCACCTTCCCTCTCACCTGGAATATTATAATACCCTTCTAAATGGCTTAAGTTTTTCCCCCTCTCCAGCCCATTTTCCACATGGGTTCCAAAGTGATATTCCTAAAGAAAAGGTCTAAAACCCCCTCCAGGATCAAATATAATCTCCTCTATCTGGCACTGAAAGCTGTTTGCAACCTGATTTCAACCTCCTTTTCCAGCATTATGATACAATATTCCATCACTCACACATTCTATCATCTAGTCAAATTAGACAAAAAGGCCAAAATATTTACCAAGTCAATCTTCTATTTTTACATTCCCACTAGCTTCCCCTACTGAATAAACAGGAGATGAGTCCTCTCCTGATATCCCCAGCAAAACTAACTTGTATTTATTTTGTAACACACACATGTTTATGCTTGAATTTACATGTCTTCCCACCATAACCTACTAACTGAAGTGGGGTCACATTAGGGAACAGCTAGGTGGTGCAGTGGATAGAGTGCTTGGCCTTAAGAAGACTCATCTTCTTTAGTTTAACTCCAACCACAGACACTTACTGACTGTGTGACCCTGGGCAAGTCACTTAACTCTGTTTGCCTCAGTTTCCTCATCTGTAAAATGAAAAGGAAACAGCAAACCACTCTAGTATCTTTGCCAAGAAAGACCCAAATGGGGTCACAAAGTCAGATATGATCAAAAAACGACTAAACAACATCAAAAATGCTGGAAAGCCAATGGGCAATTCATTAAAAGCTTTCCTGCTAAGGATGTAGTACAAGTCTGCTCTAGTTTTGCCCACAATAGTTGCTGTTTCTCAATTTCTACTTTTTAATGATAGCATCAACCCTCTCTTGCTCATTAAATCTTTTGCTGCATTTTTAACTACCCCTTACTCTTGCTTTTCTAAGTAGGTTAACACTCAGCAGGAAAAGTGTCTACAACTAAAATACAGGTTGCAAACTCTGCCAGGGCCAGCTCTTTACAGAGTGGTGTTTTTGGAAGTACAGTAATTTCCCAGATAAGACACATTCAGATTTGAAAGTGTGAAGAAGCCTGCCTTCCAAAATAAAACAGGAATCATTCTTGGCTAGCAGCACCTAAGTTGTCCTCCATTGGCATCAATAACTGAGAACAGACGTTTTTCTGCAGGATCTGGAACTGCCCAGGATGTAGAGTTGTGCTCACATGGGGTTCATAGGAAAAGTGAGTTAAAATTTTGAGCACACTGCTAAATGCTTTAAGTTCTCCTAAATACCAGGGAATTCATACACCTCAGCTTACTCCAGACACGGGAACCATTTTGGTCTGTTAGATATGTTACCAGTTGGCGTGAATATGAGCGTGCCAAACAGGTTCTTGAATACACCAGCTACTCTGCTTACTGGTCTGGGTATTCCTCTCACCACCTTCATCTCTCATGGATAGTTTATTGCTTGGCTGGGTTTTGCCAACAGCATCAACAAACCTTTGTTGACATTTGGAAGGCCAGAAGCTACACTTTGCTCTCTAGATCCCATGGAAATAGAAAAGCATGTAAGATAAGACATAGCTTTGAGTTTAAAGGCACTGAATGAAAGCACAGATTGAGGAAGCATTCTGCAGAAGGCAGGGGGCTGGGCCTAAGTGGCGTCTGCGGGGTACTTCTGGGCCCACGGTCCACAGCAAATGATACCTACCATTTCCTTGAAGGCGCTTTCAATGGCCCCAATAACAAGGCACTCGTGGGGAATCTTTTTCTCCGTAAAGAAACGTGTGGGTGGGGTGCTTGGGGAGCCCGGGGCCCCCACTCCTCCTCGAAGGGAGGCAGCCCTCGTCAGAGTCCGGCTGTTGGCTGGGTTGTTCTCAGGCTCCTCCCCCAGGCAGGTTGGGGGGAGGACTGCAGAGTTCTTCAAGATCTCTATAATGTCCTGTAGTTGCTCCACAATGTGATGCTGCAACAGCCGGGATGCCACCACAGCTGCCCCAGATCCCGCGTGCCCGTCAAAGAGGGACCAGTAGTGGAAGGAAATGCCGTCCGTGTCCTGCTTAGACAAAAAGAGACAGAGGGAAATGAGAGACCTGGGGACCATGTTCAGGGGGAACCCAGGAACCCGCTTTCAGATGAGATTAATGGTGAAACTAATAGGGCCACAGTGAACACAGCTGGTTAGCTGTCCATAATCACCAAGGCTCCCTTCTGCTTTTCCCACCCAAAGGAGGACCAAAAGGGCTTCTCCTTTTCATGAGAGGCCAAGCCTTACAGCAGAAAAAACACTGGAAGGCAAACCACAGTCTGAGATGAGCTAAGGTTAAAATCTTTAATGGAGCCAGTCAGCATAGCTCCATGTGTTTCTCTGGCTTCTTTGTGTAGCATGTGAGTAGAACAGGATGAAGATGGTGGGAGTAAGCTAGGGCTGGGATTTGGCAAGGAGGACAAGGAAAGAAGGAAACAAGTCTCTACGCTTTACAAATATCTCGTGGGATTTAATTTACACTAAAACTCTGGGAGGTAGGTATTGTTATGATCCCCATTTTACAGTTGAGGAAACTGAGGCAGACAGAGGTTAAATGACTTGCCTAGGGCCACACAACTACTAAGTGTCTGGGGCAGGATTTGAGCTCAGGTATTCCTGAATCTGGACCCAGTGCTCTATCCATTGCGTTCACCTAACTGGAAAAAACCAGTGGGGTCAAACTCAAACAGAAATGGATTCCTGGACTGCATACTGACTTTGAAAATGAGAAGTTAACATTATCTATGTTGTACTGTATTTTTATTCATTTTGTTAAACATTTGCCAATTATATTTTCATCTAGCTTGATTTGGTAGTTTTTGTGCAGGTGGCAGGCCGCTGAGTTTGACACATCTGGATTAGAAAGTAGAGTCCAGATTGACATAAAACTTCATGGGATCACAAATTCAAAACCGGGAGGTCCTTAGAAATCATCTGGTCCAGGGGTTCTTAACTGTGGAGTCTATGAGCTGGCTTTTTAAAAAAACATATTTTGATACCTATATTTCAATATAATCAGTTTCCTTTGTAATTCTTCTTTTATCTTATGCATTTAAAAACATTATTTTTAAATGTTTTATAGACTTCAGCAGACTGCCAAAGGGGTCCATGATACCAAAAACAAATTAAGAACCTTTTACCTCATTAAGCCCCTACACTTTACAAAAAGCTGAAAAAGCCAAGGGCAGAGACAGTAAATGATTTGCTTCAGATAAGTAAGTTCCAGAGCCAAGATTCAAACCCATTTCTTTTGTCTACAAATCCAACGTTCTTCCCACTACACAATACTGTCCACACATCATTACTTCGGGTCAACTCTACTTCACCATGAAGCCTGATAAACTCAGGCTTCTATTCCTGGGGAAAACAGCACCCTTTGTGATAGGTCCCCCCCATGAGATCTTAAATTCCTTGAGGTCAGGGATCATTTTTCTTTTCTGTAGCTGTCTTCCCAGAAGTGCCTGGCATATAGTATACGTCTAATAAATGTTTAATGCCTGGCTAGTTTTCTCAGTACAATACCTGATGGAAACAACACAGGCTTATCTGTCCATAATACCTGACCCAAAATGTCCAGAATTTCTGGAACGTTGTTCCTACTATGCTCCAACCCTAGGTACTATCTCAAGCTATGTTCTGATTAAGTCCAATCCCCTTGGGTTCTTCTTTCCCACCTTCAAAAGTCTCTTGTTTCTCTCATCTATTTGTTGATAATTCTTGACCTCAAAGCTGGCAAAAGCCTACAAAAGTCTTGATTTATACTACTTCTAATACCTATATGTCAGTTTCTGTCTTGATACTATAATAGCTTTTCCAAAATACACGTGTGTATTATAATAGGTAAAACAATATAAAAGGGGAAAACTTAAACCTGAACAGTGAAGGCTACTCATCATAAGGACCAAGGCCAATTTGGGGACAGAGCTTCTTCTATGAAGCTACAATCAGAAGCAATTGGATGAGTGAGATAAGGTTTGTGTATTCTCTTGTGACCATCATCAGAACCATCAATGCAACACAATAAACAATACTGTATGCTTGTTTAAAGTTATGAGGATGGTTCCTTTTGTCCAGCCAGAATCACACGGGGTGGACCTGTGAAGGTTTCAACTCAAAGCAGACATAAACCATCTTTTCTCAATCCCCAAATTTCTAATCTCTCAGAAAGGGAGAGCTCTCAGCCCATCTGGCCCATCTAGTTGTTATGGCAAGAAACTGCTGCATTAAACAGTTAACACAAAATACAAGGCAGTCCACGATTAAGTGCTAAAATGAGTGGTAATAAGAACTAATTTTGTGGCACATTATCATTGTACATTTTGTTGTAGCTCAATCATTTCAGTTGTATCTGACTCTTTGTGACCCCACTGGGGTTTTCTTGGCAAAAATCCTAGAGTGCCTTGCTATTTCCTTCTCCAGTTCACTTTTCAGATGAGGAAACCGAGGCAAATGCTTAATAAAGGCACTTATAAAAGATACTGGAGTGGCCTGCCATTTCCTTCTCTAGCTCATTTTACAGATGAAGGAAATGAGGTAAGCAGGATTAAGCGACTTGCCCGGGGTCTAAGGCCAAATATGAACTCAAATCTTCTTATCCAGACCAGGGTGCTCTAACTACTGTGTCACCTAGCTGGGTGTGTGTGTATGCGCACATGTGTATCAATGGTTCTTAATCTTTGTGTGTGTTATGGACCCTGCTGATAGTCTGGTAACACCCTTTGGATCCTTCCTCAGAACCATGTTCTTAAATGTAGAAGATAAAATGCATAGGATTACAAAGGAAACTAATTATCTTGAAATAACAGGTATCAAAATATTAAGAAAACAAATTCACAGCCCTCAGGTTAAGAACCCCTGCCCTATATGGTGGCTTGGGGCATTAGGAAAGAATTATTTTTATTTCTCAGTGGCATCTACTCATCTCATTTTGTGACAAACCCTTATTTTTTTCTTCTCCCACACATTTTTACAACCCCTTTATTTTCTTTAGTAGAGTGAAAAAGAATGTAGGACCTGGGCAGAGAACTTGAGATCAAAGCCAACTCTGTCGCTTATTTCCTGTTTGACCGTGAGGCAAGACACAACACTCTTGGGCCTCAGTTTTCTTATCTGTAAAAAATGAGGGCATTGGATGAATGACTTTAAATTCCCTTACAGTTTTAAATTTATAATCCCACGTACATTTCCATAGCACTTAAAGGTTTGCAAATGGTCCCCTCAAAAAAAATCCATGAGGTATTTAGTTTAGGTACCATTATTCCCATTATTATAGATGATGAAACTGATGCTTAACTGAAAGGCTAAATTACTTGATGTCACACAGCAAGCAGCTGTCTCAGCCTAAATTTGAACTCAGGTTTTGAGGCTCTAAGTGCAATTCCTCCACCAATATACCACACTGCCTGCCTAGCCCAGGTGATAAGTGGTATAAGGATTCAAAGGAAGGAATAGTCTATATGGGCTAGAGTATTCAGGAAAGTTCTCATGAAGAAGACAAGACCTGAACTAGGCCTTGATGGATGGCCAGAAATTGGACAGTCACATGAAGGGAATAAGGCTGCATTTGATGATGAAAACGAGAAAGCGCTCCCCCATCCTATCCAGTGGCATCTGTACACAATGTAATGGTGAAGGTAGCTGGTAAATGATGGAGAAAAAGACTCAAGGCTGACCAAGTTAGGGATGCAGGAAGAAACATGGGGGATAGGAAGGGAAACTGACTGACACAGAGTCAGCATTAGACAGAGCTGACAAAAGAAAGGGGTAGTGATCATTCCTGTTCTGAATATGAACAATAATTTCTCTCTGCTAATTCTCACTGCTAAAGAAAGGTGAGTGCAACAGCTTCTGGTTAGTACTCTGAATTCATAAGTAACTAGAAGACAGATTAGTGTTTCTTCTGCTCACACTGAAATCCCAGAACAGCTATACAGGAGTTCATATGAAAACCAGCAATATAATCCCTCACCCTAGATACAAAATAAGCCCCTTTAACAAAGCTGCTATTGGGGGACATGAACGTATATGTCAGGGCAGGGGATTTGTGCTGCAAAATATGGAAATCCATGCAATAAGGAACTGCGTTGTGACAGAATTTCATTATTTGGGGAGAGAAGGTTACTAAACTACTGTAATCCCTCTGCGCCTTCAATTAAAAACAACTGGGTTGTTCTGGAAAACAAACCAAGCATTTCTTTTCAAGAATAAAAAAATTTTGGAGACACCGAAAAAGTAAGGTTGATAAACAGTACAGGCAGAGCTATGTTATTTACCCCTTTGTTAGTCTGGGGAAGGAGATTGAAGCCCTTTTTAGAATGTTTTTTAAAAAGCAGAAAATACATAGGATTAAGGAAACCACTTAAATTAAATATATTGCTTTTTCAACCTAAGTTCATATGCCCCAGATTAAGAACTCCTGAGCTAGATGAGTTTTGAAGAGGTCAAGCAAAAATTTAATGGGGAAGTTGAAAGAAAAAATGAAAACCCAGAGGTGCTAAACATGTACTCCTGACATCCAATAATACTGGGTTGATAATTTCCCTTTTTTCCTTGGCATTCACACAGCCTTTACTTTGGGTCACCCTCTGTAGTAAACGCTGGGGCGTAAAGACAAAAAAGAAACAAAAAACCTCCCCACCCTCATAGTTTACATTCTCTTAGGGAAGACACGTATTCATGTAAATGTATACAAAATGTCTGCAGACAAAACACATGCGAGGTAATTATGAAGGGGAGGCACTAAAAAACTGATTAGTAGCATCTAGAGTCAGAATATCCAGTCTCAGCCAGGAGTGGGGACCCTGCAACCTTGAGGCCCTTTGACTAAAAGTTGATTCTGTCAAATGGCCAAACCTGAGGACCTAGAGGGTCACATGTGGCCGCAAGACAGCAGGTTACTCCTAATGTATTCAATTGTAAAAACTATTTCTTAGCAACTACTCCAGTAGGTGTTCGGGATATTTAGACCAAATTGAAACAATCTTTGCCCCGGAGCGGCCAGTGGTCTTCAGATTATAAAATATATACTAAAATCACCTGCAGGGGGTGGGAGATACTTAACAAATGAGAAAAATCAGGAAGGGCTCTTGTAGGAGGTGGTAATCTGACTCTTGAAAGGCAGCTAGAGGTTACAGTCTAACCCAATTCAACAAACATTTGTTACACATCATATGCTCAAGGTGCTGTTCTAGGAGATGAGAATACAATTCTTCTACTTACCTGATTCATGGGAGAAACTGAATTCAATAGGAAAAATTAACCAAAATATCAACTATAAAACAGAGTCCCAGTGAGGTTTCCCAATTACATTTAATTTGTTTTGGTGGATAGGGCAAGGTTATAGAATCTAAAATGAAAGATTCAGAGCTGGTGTCAACCCGAAGAATTTCAATCTGTCTCTCAGTGTATACGACGCACTGGGAAGGGGTTTTCTTCTACCTGCCAATGCAGAGTGATCAGTGGAACTATTTAAACAAAGTGGCACCTTTCACAGTTTCTTTGGGGGGGGGGAGCATCACTGGGGAGCGGGGAAACAACATAGAAAGCACAGCTTCTACATGTCTTATTTCTTTCTTGCTCCTTCCCTCTCTCAGACAACCACCACTAAACATAAAGAAACACATGCTTCTTTGGTGCTGACGCCAAGTTAGGAGGACTCATCTGATCATTCATCTCCCATTGGGTAGAACCAGACAAAACTCTCACTTAGCTCAAACTGTGAAACGCAGCAGAGACAGACAGGGATTCACTGACGCTCAATCACCACTGTGCAAATGTGCCTAGTGAGAACTCTCCCTTAGAAAGATGAGTGAGTCACCTCCCAGCTCCAACTAGTTCCGATCATGTGTCACTCTCTCTCATATCAGATGAGATAAAGAACTTTGCGGCACTGGAGAAAAGTATAAATTCCCTAAGGTGCTGATCACGACCTCAGGCTGTTCAAAGCTAGTGCTGGGAGGCTTAATGAACTTCACGGCAGGTTTGTGCATAAATTGTTTTTTTTTTTTAAGAGGCCTCACTTTAAATCCTAGATGAATTTTTGGTTTTGTTTGTTTTGTTTTTTAAATTAAAGATTACCATAGTGAAAAGGATATCTGACAAATCTGTTTTGATTAGTGTACACTGGCCCTTTTAATATCCAGCTATCTCAATGCTGCATTTATTTGGAACATCAGTTGGAGAAGTTCTCATCAGTGCCTTTTGGGTAAAAGAGTACTGAGAAGTTAGAGACTTCAACGCTCACCTCCTTTTATAGGTGACAAAGCTGTGGGGCCCAAAAAGATGAAGGAATTTTCCCAGGGTATGTCAGTTTCCCAGACTCCCAAGTCCTTTGGTAAAGGGGAGTCTGACACTCCATCTAGCGTGTACTAGACCCTGAGGCGGCGAGCCCTAGAAACACCCTGTGAGAATGAGGTCATGCTAATTCTCTTGTTTCCTCTCCATTCCAGGTCAGCGAAGATTAACAGGGCAGTGACAGTAATGAGCTTGGTGTGTCCAGATGTGCAAGTGAAGGATAATAAAAGCAGCACTTTGCTTCTGGAATTGTGACAAATCAATATATGACAAAAACCTGTTTATTTTTCAAAAGTACTACTGATGCCTTATATTGTATTTTTTTTTAAACACAGTCATTTTCTAATCTATGCCACCAAGATCTGGCCCCCCAAATCTCTCCTGCACCTTGCAACAAAGAAAAACAAGCAAGCCACACTGATAAAGCAAGACCACACGTGGTACTCCCAGTTCTCCAATGTCTCTTCTGCAAGGAGGGATACAGGTTTCATTATTTGTTCTGATATTCCAGGACTGAGACTGGTCATGTTTAATCCAAATCTGGCTGCCTTTCTGTGATGGTTTCATTTTATTACTGCAGTCATTATGTAAAACTGTCTCCTGGTTCTACTTGCTTCACTCTGAATCAGTTCATACAACTCTTTTCTGTCTTCTTGTAATCCTGAGCATCTGTTATTGGTAAATAAGGCTCTATGGCTCCTTTCTTATTCTGTTACCAAGTGCTAGGCCTTGCTGAGAAATGGGCAAAATAGAAAGCCTTGTCACTAAAGTTTAACTCCATTTTTTTGGTCTATAAAACACTTTGGACATAACTAGCCCTTGGTATTATGGAAAGATAATTGGATTCAGAACTAGGTATGGCAGGAAGATAACTGGATTCAGAGTTAAGAAATATTTGGGCTCAAATCCCACCTCTGCCACCTGCTGGATCACCATGGGCAAGGCTATTTAACCCCCTGAACCTCAGTTCTCTCATCTGTAAAATGGTGATAACACCACCTTATAGTACCTCTCTCGTGGGGGCGTGAGGATTAAATAAGATAACATTTTCAGAGTCCTTTGTAAACCTGAAAAATCAGCTGAATATTAGTACAACTGAAAAAAAGGCCATGTGTTTTGTTCAACAGGCCCTTTTCTTCTTGTTTAGAGGTGCTTTCAAGAAAGTACTAAAAAATAAGTATTCTGAAGCTGGTGTCACATAAATGTGAATCACAAGTGTTGCTCCCTAAAGCAAAGGTCACGAGAAATCACAAGGTGAGAGAAAGATAATTAAAGCAGTCTAAGTACAGCAAGAAATCAACCCAAGTGAGAGAAAAGATAACCCCTGAAGGACAATTGTCTAACACAGGTTAGCCCAATAAAGTGAGCCAATGGGCCAAGGGAATGAGATGGATGCCCATCACTAGGTAATCAGTATCACCCTCTAGTTGGTGCAACGTATAGAGGGCCGGACTTGGAGTCAGGAAGATCTCAGTTCAAACCCTCCTACAGACACAAGTACAGTTGTGACCGGGGCTCTCAGCCTCAGTGTCCTCCTCTGTAAAATGGAGCACCTACATCACAGGGTTGTTGAGGAGCACCTGAGATAATATGTATAAAGTAAGAAGGAACATATACTTTATCACCATTTCTGAGGCTCCAGGGCAAAGACTGGTTATGTTCAACTGGAATTTGGATGCTTCTTCCTGACTACATTCTGTAGTCTTTTGCAGTATGAACCTTAAAAGGCTGTATAAACGATAGCCAATGCTATTACTATCATCATCATTGTTATCATTCAGACTTGAGTGGGCTGAAAATTGCCTTCAGGAAATTGC